TGAATGATGTTCCATCAACACTCTGAGGCTATGTAGGTGGTGGCTGTGCTTATTAAAATCACCTTCACCGTGTATTGTGGGCATTTTTGTAAGTCTTTGGTTGAATGTGCATGTGTGAGCATGAGGGAGGGAGTGTGTGACTGTGTTTGTGTATGAATGTATATGTCAGGTGGGGCCTTTGACTCCTCCCCTCTCCTGGTACTTCTTTTGATGATATAGATCTTCGTCTCCCCTCTCCCTGCCACACCTGGTAGGGGTGTGGTGCCTTGGTCTGCCTGAGTGTTCGTGGCTCCCGGGTCAGGGGGTTTAAGATTTTTGGCGTCTGCCTGATCAATCCCGGTGGCGGCCTGGTGGGGTCTGGGTCCCTGGGCTCTGCTGGGTCCCCGGCGGGGGTTGTCGCCCCTGGGTCCGGGGTCGCTGGGTCCCGGGCTCGGCCGGCTAGGGGGTGGGAGGCTGCGGGCGGGCCTGAGGGCTTGCCGCTGATGTCTCCCGGGACTCTGCCGGCTGCTGGTTGTGGCCCCCCGGGGCGATCCTCTGTGCCTCTCGAGGGGGGCGGGGGCCTTTCTGGCTGCAGTCTCCTTGGGGTTCCTGTGTTTTGGGACAACTTCTGGATCTCTGGGACTTGGAGCTCCCCCCGTCTCCTACGCATCTTTGGGGGCAGATCTGTGGTCCCTCACACTCTCTATTGGACGCTCCTATAGATAAACCTTACATAAACAAGCGTGTGTACACACGCAGGTGCTCACATGGTGCTCTCAAAAGTACGGGCTTGGGCACGTTCAACACAGGTCTTAAGACTATGATGGGCACTTAATGCACTGTGATTTGTTATCGTGCGACTGTTCAGTTAAATAATGTTGATTATATATTTCTTCATCAAGCTGATGCAGTGATTGCTTGGTCTTGTTGTATTGTTGTTGTATTGTTGTTGTGTCCCTTTTTTTTGCTTTTTTTTCTTGTCTCTTTCTGCAGGTCTAGAAGCAGACTCTTGTTCATAATTGTTTATTTTTGTGGACCCCCCCCCCACCCCTTCCCCCCCTCCCCACCTTTTGTCTCTTCCTTTCTCTTTCACCTCTGACTCCGTGTCTGGTCGTAATTAAAAAGCATTCAAAAACAATAACAATAAAGTTTTAAGTATCAGGCGTGACATTAAAAGCAGACGCTTTGATGCTCCACCTGAGATTAAATTTGAAAGGCTTGTTACCTGCATTCAGACATCAATTCTGTTTGCTTCACAGCCAGGCAGGACACGGTAAAATAAATAAATAAATAAATAAATAAATAAATAAATAAATAAATAAATAAATAAATAAATAAATAAAAGAAAATTAAAATTTTTTAAATAAAATCACCTTCACCCTGATAATTCACCACAACCTTTGATTAAAAGGAACAATAACAATAAAAACTAAAACAATGCCACTCAGTTAAGAAACAACTCAACACCTAAATAAAGGGTCTCCAGAGCTCAGGGATGAGCTTCCTTAAAGCGTATAGGACTCTCGACATGGTCAACACAAAGAAATCCAACTCCCTGTGGAGTCATTACAACCTAACTCTTCTCTGAGCAAAGCCACAGAAACCAAGTCAAACACGTTAAGTGAGAGCTGAGTTCATACGCGACGCAGCTGGATTGCAAGCCCGTACTCTCACAACGCACACAAGAGACTGAACTTTGATCACAACGGGATTAAGCTGAAACAAAAATATTATACCACAGTAAGCTGGAGGGAAAGACCGAGGTGAAATAATTCCATGAGTTTGTAAATGACAAATGTGGTCAAACTACATACAGGTGGAGTAAGTCATTATTATATTATTACATTAGAAATGTTGTGTTTTAACAGGTTTAGCTTGAAGAAAATTCATTCACAAAGATAAGACCTCAATAAAGATTGAATGTTTTACAACTCTAAGCAGGTGTTGTGTTTACACTGTAGACAAATAGAAATACTGGACAAACCCAATCCATTGCTTTCTAAAATACATGAAGCCAAATGGCCGGTTTCCATAACCGCCATCTTGGCTGTGTCGCACGTCGCGTCTGCCCAGACAATCCAAAAATGGGAAAGAAGGTGGAGCTGGGAGGATGGGAGCAAATGATTGACACCCACAAACTCTGTAACTACAAGCTAACTGAGCTAACCCAAAGCTACATGGAGACTGGAGCTAACCATTGACTGTTCAAATACACACACAGCCTCAGACCACAGTGATCAGAGTCAGGTGACTTGGCTGTGTATGTGAGTTCCCACTCCTCTACATCGGCTGAAGATCAGCAGGAGATTAGCTACCAGCTAACTCAAAGCTACTCGGAGATTGGAGGAATCAGGCTAGCTATGAACTATCTGAGTTAACCTGAAGCTAACCTGAAGCTATCTGTTGTTTTGGGGCGTTTTTAGGCCCAAAAAATATAACTGTAGACTGACTCAAAAGAGAAGGTACCATACCATACCATACCATACCAACTTTATTTATAAAGCACATTTAAAAATGGCATGGCAGCCGACCAAAGTGCTGTACGGAATAAAAAGTAAAAACAGAATATAAAACAAAACATGGTCAACAATAAAATACACAACAAAGCAGGTAATCATGGTCAATAAAAAGACACATAGTAAAATAATAAAAGTCAGGGATTTAAAAATGCCTGGTCGTAAAAGTGAGCCTTAAGTAGCGACTTGAACCGGAGGAGGGATGGTGCCAGCCTCACTGAAAGAGGAAGAGCATTCCAGAGTGTCGGAACAGCATAGACAAAAGCACGCTGCCCCCGCGTTTTGTATTTAATTTTTGGAACGCGAAGCAGCAGGCAATCAGCAGATCTCAACGCCCGGTTTGGCACATAACGAGTCACAAGATCAGACAGGTAATCCGGAGCCAGACCATTCAGGGCCTTAAAAACAAAAATCAGGATTTTAAACTTGACTCTGAAGTTTACGGGTAGCCAGTGGAGCCGCTCCAGTACAGGTGTGATATGGTCTCTTCTAGGGGCGTTTGTTAAAAGCCTGGCTGCTGCGTTTTGTACGACCTGAAGCTAAGAGCGGAGGCAGGTAAATCAATTAAAATGGAATTTGCGTAATCCAGTCGGGAGATGATAAAAACATGAATTACGGATTCCAGGTGTGCTCGTTTCAGGATCGGTTTTAAGCGAACTAGTCTGCGCAGCTGATAAAAACATGATCTGACCACTGCGTTAATCTGAGGAACCATGGAAAAGTGTGTATCCAGTTTCACCCCTAGGTTGGTAACACACAGCTTGAGGTCATATGGGAGAGTGTCCAAATCGGAAGATTAGTGTGTGGTTTTGTTAGGGGTCATCAGGAGTGCCTCAGACTTAGAATAATTCAGCTTAAGGAAATTGTTGGCAAGCCAAACCCTCACTTCAGCCAAACATTGGTCCAGAAGAGAGAGGGAGCCTGGTTTGTTCAAAGCCAGGTAGATCTGGCAATCATCTACATAAATATGATAACCCAGGCCATATTACCTCAGGATGAAACCCAGGGGGAGGATGTAAATTGAAAACAGGAGAGGCCCAAGCACAGATCCCTGCGGGACTCCCCATGGAAGTGGAAGGAATGTAGAGGGACAATTACCCAACTGAACCTTGAAAACTCTGTTTGACAGGTATGAGCAGAATCACTGAAGTGAGGTACCCCTAAGCCCTACCCATGACTCAAGTCTATCCAGCAAAATATCATGGTCAACGGTGTCAAATGCTGCAGAAAGATCTAATAGTAGGAGCAAAACAGGAGACCAAGAGTCAGAAGCCACCAGGATGTCATTGGTCACGCGAAGAAGGGCTTATTCAGTACTGTCAAGTGGCCTAAACCCAGAGTGGAACACATCAACCAGAGAAAAGCTATTCATGTGTGCTGTAATCTGTGAATAAACAATCTTTTCAAGGACCTTAGACAAAAGTGGTAATTTGGAGATTGGCCGGAAGTTTGCAAGGTTTGAGTTGTGTAAACCAGGTTTTAAAAAGAAGTAGGAAACACCCCGGTAGCAAAGCTAGAGTTAAACTGTCTAAGACGGTGGGGCCCAAAATAGGGATGATATCACCCACCATCCTCGGGGGGAGAGGGTCCTCAGGAGAACCTGCTGGTTTCATATTTCCAATCAGATCTGACAATTCACTAAGAGATATGGGAGTAAAGTTACAGAATGAGGGAGGTTCTGGTAGTACATCAGGACAGCCAGATCCTGGTTGCAGAAGACTATCCCTAATGTCCCGGACTTTGTGAAGAAAGAAGGTCTGGAGCTCAGCACACAATGACACAGACGGATAAACACTACCAGGTTCAGTTATCGACAAGATGGAGTTCACAGTGCTATAAGGTGCATCAACTCAAAGAGCTGCAGTGTTTCTATTGTCTCCCTCATAGAGCTTTGAAGGCAAACAGCACCACAGCATTGCATGGAAGATGGGCGAAGCCAGGAGACTGTGCAGCTTCACTGCTCTGGGAGACGGCAGGGAAACAGAAGAACCCAGGTGCCAAGCTCGCTCAGCTGCCTCCAGCAGGCTGGAACGGCAGATTCACTGATCTTTGATTACAAGGCCGCCACTGCTGAAGGGAGAGATATGGTACCGAAACTTGGTAAACCTGCCTTCTGCAGGGGCGAACTTGCAGATATCTGAGCCCGGTGGATGAGTTTCGGAACCCTGTGAAATTGACATTTTTAACATGGGGAGTCAATGAGGATTTGCTCACTTCTGGTGCCCGCCCCTAGGGGATGAGGTTGGAACTGCAGTCTTTTTTTGTCCACCGGTTCCCCCTTGGTTTACACTCAGTTACAAATTGATTAAAAGAAATAACACACACACACACACACACACACACACACACACACACACACACACACACACGCAGGCACGCACGCACGCGCACACACACACACACACACACTTATGGCTTTAAGAAATCAATAATGGATTTCAGTTCAGCTCATTTTGGTTACGTGATTTTAATCTAAATCTGTCAACTTGTCCAACATGCAACAATACCAACAAGTCATCCAAGAGCAGGCCCGCTAAGCTTTCATTGACATTAAAGCAACCCATCAGGCTGAAACTGTGCAGAATATGCACCGACATTCTGAGTCAAAACACGAGGTAAATGCTGAACATCCTGTTCAGATTTGTCTTTTTTCATTCAGGCCTTTTTATCACAATGACTGTTCTCCAGGAAAAACAATCCATTGTACCAAATCCTAACGGATCAGCGAGGAACCCTTGATCCATTTCGCTTTTTATTTTAATAACAAGCACAGCTTGGGCTTTAACACTGTCAAAGAAAATATGTCACCTTAGTGTTCTGTCAGATTGGCCATGACGTTCCATATTCAGGATCTTATTTATTTATTTATTGCATGCCTGACTCACAGAAAAAGGTTTTAGCTTTCTGATATTTCCAACAAAGGTTATAGAAGGCTGTATGTTTTCAATTCATAAGTATTCAGTTCCAGGCATTAAACTCCGGTTATCCATCCTACACAGATGAGCAGCACACCCTCTATGACCTGTATGGCTCCCCTAACAATATTTAGACAAGCCACATACCAAAGGAGCACACCGAGGTCTAGGAGGGAGGAGCAGTGGCTAAGGAGGAGACAGCAAGGTTTAGGACAGGAGACTCCAAGATGGTTTCAAATGCATCCATAGAGGACAGAGAATTGGGCACTGAGCCAGTTCCTCCACCACTAGGTGTGGGTGAGAAACCACACTTCCAGCCAGATGTCTCCATCTCATCAGCAGCAAGACTGTGAGAAAAGATAAAAAAAAAGTCAAACAAAAAAAAGCAGGTTCACACAGTAAACAAACAAGCTAATTAACACAAAATGCCTATTTTTTAAGTCTTTTAGATTATACAACTCCATCTGTGGGGACTGCAGCTATGAAACATTAAGAATTTGTGAGACCAGCTGGCAATGCTGTTAGTTATTTGTCACTATTAATAAATACAAAACTAATAGGATGCCTGGTGAAGACAAAATCACTACACACACACACACACACACACACACACACACACACACACACACACACACACACACACACACACACACACACACACACACACACACAAGCACATTGGTAATTCAGGAAGAGTCAGATCATTTTCATTTGTTGTTTTCGAGAGCGGCGGAAAGTTAAAGTTAAGGATGGCCCAATAAGTTCACCATGTACCATCATTCCTAAAGTACTTTGCCTTAAACCAGAATAAATCACAAAAATAAATTGTGTAAAGTGCTAAAAAAATAAAAAGGAGTGAAGGCTGCACAAACCTGCAAAAAATAAGTATTGATTTCTTTTTTAATTTAGCTATTACATTGTGACATTTAGTTGTCAGTGACATTCAAAAGTTGCAGCTTGATTAATGTCACACGGTAGCTTGGACTGATTTATGATATGTACGGCTGAGATGTCTCCTGGAAATGAAACACAGCAGCCAAATACAGAAGTGTGTAGTTTTTAGCAAAAATACAAACAAACTCTAGACTGGGTTCACTGAGGTCTCTAAGTTTTGTCTGATGTGTCCGAACCAGAGGCCTTAAAAAGCATTGGGAAAAATGTAGTTGCAAAAACGTTGATTACAGAAGCATCTAATACATTATTTATTGATCTGTGTGTGTGTGTGTGTGTGTGTGTGTGTGTGTGTGTGTGTGTGTGGTTGAATATCAGGACAATTATTTGCTGACGAGTTAACTTGTTGTCATCAACTGCCACAAATGTTAGCTCAGACCAGCAGAGCCTGGGGCGGTTTCTCCCCTCCTGAGACCATCAGGTTAGAGGCCCTATCATGAACACCACTGTGTGGCCTTTAATGACATTTTTCAGAATTTATTGTGTGTAAATAAACATCCACAAGTGTGCATGTGCATGCACTCTCATGTTTATCTCTTGGCTTGTATATATTTTGCACACTGTTGTGTTTATTTTTGTGTTTGTGTGCTCATTTGCTGTCAGCACAGCAGCTCCAGACCTCCAGCTGACCTCTGACCCTATCCTCTGTGGAGGAAGTCAACCCCTGCACAGAGTAATGGCCAGCGTGCTGCAGCTGAGGCAGCGGGCCAACGAAAGGGCACAAGGCGAGCGGCCACAGCAGGAGGGGAAGGGGCAAGGGTGTGCAGACCGAGAGAGGAATAAGACCGTGATGGATAAACAGGGAGGTGACGAAGGGTAATAGGACACAGGAAGGGACGAGGACAGACTGACAGTAGGGAGGAGAAAAGGTCAATTAAAACATAAGCTACCGTTAAAGTTAATCACACAAGAAATATTTCTGCAAGATCATTCAATCAACCTAAAAATACCAGTGCTACCTTTAATTTATAGAGCAGCTGCAAACTTTCTAATAAATTTAGCAGAGTGGATTGAAGGTGGACTGCAAAGTTAGCAATCTCTTAAGCTAAATACAGAGGGTTTGAAAGTCCTTACTCTTTGCTGCATCTCTGGAGAGGATGAATAAATGAGACAGAGCCAGGATAAAAGGGACTTCTATTGTCTCCTCTAAATGGCTGTAAGACGCATGTAAACACTGGTCTGGAAAGAGGTTGAGGTGCTGCTGGAGGGAGGATTATTGGTTCCTTCGCGCCGTCTGTTTTCGATATTCGGCCTCTAAATTGATTTTTGTTTTGCTGCCTTTGTTGCTGTCGATTGTGTCCACAGGAGGAGGGTTGATGGTGCTTTGCTGGCCGGGAGTCCCCCGTGGCCAATTTTCCCACCACCACAACAACGCTGTCGCAAATTAAACTGTCATAACACTCATAACCACAATTAATGACCAGGATTAGGGACTGAAATCTGCATTACCGAACACCTTTAGGCACACATGAGCTCTTAAGCACAGAACAGAAGCGGGATAAAGAGGAGAAGAAGAAGGGGAAGGAGGGGAGGTTTGAGAGTGAGCTGGTGCCGAGGCATATACAAGACCTGGAGATGGAGGAAAGCTTTAGAGAGAAGACAAAAGAACGGACAAAGGGATGAAAATCATGTCTGGCTGTGAGACAGAGAATTCAGGAAACACCTGGAAGATTTTAGGCAATTTAGGCAGAGACTGGGGAGCTTTGTGTTGGATAAATCAACTATCCATGCACTTTACCACCAGTTATCAGTAATAATACCTTCCTGCCTAAACTGCAACAAGATTAACATCAACAGCTAGGGGTATTTAGGTAAAATGGATCAGCAAATGGGAAAATACCTATCAGGTCTGACAAGTAAAATGAAATGAGATCACAAAACCTGCTTCAACAAATGTTTAAACTTTCTTTCAGCTAATAAAAAAAGTTTCTCAGGAGAACACTGGGGATAAAACATGCTTGTGTGTGTTTTTCATGAACACAACTCACTAGCTGATGAATTTGTAGCCATCTCTGCAGATATTTTTCTAAATAAATAATTTTATATTAAAAGGGGGACAGCAGGGTGTGTTCCAACCAGGGGGACCACACTCCTGAGCCTCACTGGGAAAGTCTATGCAGGAGTTCTGGACAGAAGGGTCCAGCGGATTGTTGAACCACAAATTCAGGAGGAGCAATGCGGGTTTCATCCTGGCTGTGGAACACTGGGCCAGCTCCATACCTTTAGGGGGGTCGTGGAGGGTGGGTGGGAGTCTAACCAACCGATCTACATGTTTGTGGATTTGGAGAAGGTGTTTGACTGCGTCCCTCGGGAGGACCTTTGGGGGGTACTTGGAGGGTATGGGTTACCAGGCCCTCTGATACGGGATGTTAGGTCCCTGTATGGTCCGCATTGCCGGCAGTAAGTCAGGCTCATTCCCAGTGAGAGTTGGACTCCGCCAAGGCTGCCCTTTGTCACCGATTCTGTTCATAACTTTTATGGACAGGATTTTTAGGTGCAGCCATGGTGTTGAGGGGATCTGTTTGGGTGGCCTAGAGATCAGGTCTCTGCTTTTTGTAGATTATGTGGTCCTGTTTGCTTCATCAGAACATGATATCTGGCTTTTACTGGAGCGGTTCACAGCCGAGTGTGAATCAGCTCCTCTAAATCCGAGACCATGGTCTAGAGTTAGAAAAGAGTGGAATGCCATCTCCGGGTCAGGGATGAGGTCCTGCCCCAAGTGGAGGAGGTCTGAGGGTCTTGTTCACGAGTGACGGAAAACTGGAGTGCGAGATTGGCGGATTGGTGCAGCATCTGCAGTGGTGCGGGCGTTGTACCGATCTGTGATGGTGAAGAGAGAGATGAGCCTGAAGGCGAAGCTCTCGATTTACTGGTCGATCTACGTTCCTACCCTCACCTATGGTCATGAGCTTTGGGTAGTGACCAAAAGAACCAGATCACTGATACAAGCGGCCGAAACAATTTTTCTCCGCAGGGTGGCTGGGCTATCCCTTAGAGATAGGCTGAGGAGCAAGGTCATCCGGGAGGAGCTCAGAGTAGACCTGCTTCTCCTCCACGTTGAGAGGAGCCAGTTGAGGTGGCTTGGGCATCTGGTCAGGATGCCTCCTGGACGCCTCCCTGGTGAGGTTTTCCAGACATGTTCAACCAGGAGAAGACTTAAAGGGAGACCTAGGACCCATTGGAGGAACTGTTGGCGCTTACACATTAGCGTCGGGATGGTCGGGGTTTAGTCGGGCTGGATGCCGTGAGTTCGGTCTCGAACGGGCAGTGCAGTGTTCACATATAAATCCGAGGGACTTCTCGGGAATACAGAAATTCCCAAGCCTGTGGGTGGCGTTTAATACGCAAGGGAAAGTCTGCTGTGTCCTCCAATTATAAGGTAAACAAAGGCGGGCATGAGCTGTGTTGCTGTTGGAGACTCTGAACTACATTATTTTATTAATTTGTTGTGTGTGTCCTCATAATCTTGTGCCACACACTGCTTATTCCCCTGAGCAGCTGTCTGCTCGCCGGGGCAAGAGCTCTGGTGCAGAGAACAGGCAAACACACACACTCGCACGCACGCACGCATGCACGCACACACACACACACACACACACACACACACACACACACACACACACACACACACACACACACACACACACACACACACACACAGAGCACACTCACTTCTCCCATTCCCACTGATCGGCAGCTCCGTGCTACAGACAGACGTTTACCCAACAGCATCCAGCATGAATATGAATCGTGCATGCGGGAAACCCCCTCCCGCAGATCGGAGGTGGTAGGCGTAATGTCAGCCGGCCAATCAGTCCGTACAGTCGCCTCGAAACCGAAAACGCAATTCTGACCTGTGTGTGAAGCCAAATTCCGGTCCCGAAAGGGACCATAAGGGACCGAACCGACGCTAATGTGTAAGCACCTCATGTCTCTTGGCTGGTCAGGGAACACCTTAGGATCCCCCAGAGGAGCTGGCCCAAGTAGCTGGGGATAGGGAAGTCTGGGGCTCCCTGCTTAGGCTACTGCCTCTGCGACCGGACCCCGGATAAACAGCCAGAAATGGATGGATGGATAATTTTATGCAGTTAAAATAACATCTAAAATGTTTGTTTGTTGCTAAAAGTCCTTAAGAGTTCATTAGATGTATGATTTATTTAAGTTTTGGTTAAAAATGACTAAATGGCCTGTATTTATATAGCACCTTCTAGAGTTCGACAACCCCCAAAGCACATTACAACTGACTGGTCATTAACACATTCACACACTGGTGGTGATGAGCTACAACATAGCCACAGCTGCCCTGGTGAGGCTGGTATGGCACCACCTGTTCTTCCAACCACCACCAGCAGGCAATGTGAGGGAAGCGTTAAACCAGCGTTATTAGCGTTTCAGT